AACTTGAATCAGGATTTATGAAAATTGTAATTTAAAAGCATGTGTGGGTGTAATTTCCTCTTAAAAGATTTCAGCCTGTTAAGTCAAGTCATCTTTCCATCTAGTCCGGACCAGAGAGCCCACTTGTCAAGGATCAAGAGCAGGCCGGACTTAAACTATTCGGCCCCAACTAGATAGCGATTGAATATCGGGCAACAACTTGCTGCGCCAAGCGAACCAAAAGTTCACAAGAACAAACAAACACTACAACAAAAACAGCATACTACAACATTAAAAAGGCAACATTTGTCAACAAATATTGCCAAATGGGTCTTTTGGCAACATTTTAATAAGTGAATGTTGCCATTGGTATTAACAAATGAGTTTTGGCAACGTTTTTTAGAAAAATGTTGCGGTAGACACCTTAGCAACGTTTATTGAATGTTGCGAAAAATTTTACCTTTAGCAACATTTATCAAACGTTGCTAAAGATGAAACTTTTGGCAACGTTTATCAAACGTTGCTGAAAGTCACCTTTAGCAACGTTTAACAAACGTTGCAAAAAGTCTTACCTTTCGCAACGTTTGACAAACGTTGCTGAAAGTTACCTTCCAATATAAAAGGAAAAAAATCGAATCCTCTCTCATTTCTTCACGATTCACCCTCGACCTCGCCTGAGGTGCTCTCTCTTCCTTCTCTAACTCCCACCGGCCACCACCACCACTCCATTCCACCGCAAAATACATCCTCATTTCTCCTCTCCGCTCTCCCGCCCTGCCCGCAGTCCCAGACTCTACTCTCCCACACCACAGACGTTCCGTTTCTGAGCTCCGCCCGTTCCAACTCCCATCGCCGGTCGCCCTACTCCTCTAATGAGGTAAGTTTCTATGTTCCTCACTGTGTGACTGTGTCTGTGGTTTTTGATTTAGGATTTACGATTTTCTAATTAGAAATTTAGGGATTTTGATGACTGTTGGTAAGCCAGTTGCCACAAGGCTCAGAAAACGAGTTGCCATGCGATTGAAAGATTCTCAAAACACATTTGCGTTGTTGACAACATTTAATGAAGTTGATATGTAAGTTCAACTTTTCTCTTTCCCATTTGCATTATTTGTGTTCTCTTTTGTTTAAAGTGAAAGATGAGATCTGTGCCCAAAATTGAAGGTCATAGTCATCTTGCTTTGGTTATGTAGCTGTTGTTTATCTGGGTCAACTAGTCAAGCTGGGTTTCTAGCATGAGCTAAATCTACAAAAAGATAAATTGTTCAAATGATATGGGATCTTGGTTTAGTTTAGTCTATCTTGGTTAACTCT